AACGAAAGACTGCGAGAGGAAGTCCCCGGGAAGTCATCGCATTTTCACTAGACACGGCTCGGGGAGTAACTTTATCACGTTCGTTTGTGTTTAACCGGTTCACAAAGTCGTTAAGGAAGAGTATAAGGAGGAAAAGAAAATAGAAAGTCGCATTCTTGCGAGTTTTGCAATCGCGTCTTTCGGAAAATGCGAAACTGATATTTCATTTTTGTATCCGTGAACAGAGTCTCCCAAAGACGCGAAAAGGAGAAGAGAGTCTCTTAAAGTTTTGAAAGCCACACGCCTCTGAACTTAATGTCTGAATACCGAATTTTTAGTTAGATATTGTTGCTTTTGTCTTTTATGTGATTAAGATACAATTGCGAAGCAAAACAGACATTGAAAACGACAGAAAGGACGCTACAAAAAATATATACGTTAATTTTATATTGAATTAAAATACTGCTAAATTCCATTCCTGTAATAGTTAAAAAAATTTTTTTTTATGAGACTTAAAAATAATTATATCCTGTAACGGATTTTGAAAGACAATACTACAAAATAATTAATATAATTGTATCATATTTTTAAAGCACTACTTTGCAAGTGGTTAATTCTTTCGCATTTAATTAAACTAATTTAAAAAAACCAATTCAATGTTGATGCAACCAGTTTGATAACAATGGAAAAATTTAAAATAACTTATTTCCTCTTTTTCTTCGCAGATTGTAACCGCGGTGAAGGCTCGCATCGGCATAAAATGCATTCGCAACATCTACGGCATGACGGAGTTGTCGTTTCCGAGCAATGTGAGCGGACGCGACGATGATGATGACGAGTTCGAAAATCCAGGTTGCGGGCGGCTCTTGCCTGGTTTCCGCAGCAAAGTGCTCGATCTCGAGTCACAAGAGACGCTGGAGGCTGGCCAGGTGGGCGAGATCTGTTTTTTCGGGGAGCAAGTGATGTTGGGTTACTGGAACAACCCCGAGGCAACCAGACAGGCTATTGACCAGGACGGATGGTTTCATACCGGCGATATCGGCTACTTCGACAACAAGGAGAGGCTACACGTGATCGATCGCGCCAAGGAACTGATCAAGTACAAAGGCTATCAAGTCTCGCCGTCGGAGATAGAAACCGTCTTACTGTCGCATCCCACGGTAAAAGACGCCGCGGTCGCTGC